TCAAATCTCGGGAGACCCCTCAGGGTGAGAAATGAGTAGTTCGCACCTGGCCAGACTGGATGAAGCATATCGCGAAGCATGTACTCAGAAGAGTACTAGCCCCTACGAGAAGGACCCGCAAGTCCTGAGGTTGCAGCGTTATACTGGGGACCTGATGCTGGGAGGCTTCCTCAGAAGCCCAGGCTGCATGTCCAAGCCGTAGATGAGGGCTATCACCAGCCTGGAACCAGAACCGATGAGTGAAACCATCACTGTAATCGGTCGAACCTACAAGTCAGAAAAACAGAACAGGTCCGAGTAGCGCTGCAGAGAACGGCTAGCATCGAATACACAAAAACTAGCAATAGAGTAGATAAAAATGGATCGTATTCACGTATGCCCTGCCATTCAAACAAGATGCATCCTGAAGGCCCTCGAGAGCTGAACGCGCTTGCTCTTCACCACACACACACACAGCTCACGAGCCGTTTGAAACTGCAGGTATCAGAGCAAAGCCTTTGGCGCGAGAACATGCACTCCTAGTCGTGTTTAGCTTGACGCTAAAATAAACAAACGGTCAGTGAAGACGAAGAAGAGGATGACGTGTTATCCCGGCGCCCTTTAATTTCCCATCAGGTCCTTTCCATGTTCTCACCGCGACCGCAACGCGCAGCATGCATTCAGCTCCCGCAGGAGCTAAACACGCTCCGCCCAACCACAGATTACCTCGGAAATCAAGCGAGAATGAAAACCATTGCCGTGAATGCGTCGCTATTCCCGCGAGAGGCGAACGCACTCATGCAAACGCTACCTACAAACTCGGGCAAATGGTGAAGTACTCATATCCCCCTCAGCAGTCCTGTGAATGCATCACGATGAGCACAAACTGCCTCCTCGTGAGACGAGCGCGTTCAATTCATGCTTATCCCTCACAAGAAATAAGCAATGAATACAGAGCGCATCCAACTCCCTCGAGAGCTGAACGCGCTTGCTCTTCACCACACACACACACACACACAGCTCACGAGCCGTTTGAAACTGCAGGTATCAGAGCAAAGCCTTTGGCGCGAGAACATGCACTCCTAGTTGTGTTTAGCTTGACGCTAAAATAAACAAACGGTCAGTGAAGACGAAGAAGAGGATGACGTGTTATCCCGGCGCCCTTTTATACTGTGATCCTGAGGGTAATGCCGTCATAGGCTGGGGTTTGGATGGCAGTGAGGGAGCCTTAAGAGAAGATGTCTCCCCCATAGAGAGATAGCAGGCCAGCATCTCTTCAACAGGGGGCATCTTCTCATAACCATTCTCACGCATCCCCTCGATGTTGGCATACATGGAATGGAAGGCTCTTTTTATTATTATTATTTTTTACTTCAAGCCGGAGTGCAGTATATTGTGGTTATCTGCTTTGTTTTTTTTGTTTTTTTTCAGTGAAGACGAAGAAGAGGATGACGTGTTATCCCGGCGCCCTTTTATACTGTGATCCTGAGGGTAATGCCGTCATAGGCTGTCGCCGGCCAATGTTATTGTCGTTTTTTTTTATATATGCTTCACACACCGGTCACGCTGAAAGGCGTTCCCCATAGCAACCCCTAGAGGACGCAGTTCGAAGTTCCCTCGAAAGGACTGTCAGATTTCAGGAAAAGTATTGTAATCTGTGTTCTGAAGATGAACAAAGGTCCTATGGGTTTGGAACGATATAAGGGTGAGTAAATTTTTGGGTGAACTAACCCTTTAATGGCCCCTTAATTTTTGGGTGAACTAACCCTTTAATGGCCCCTTCTTATTGCAGACCCTTACAAGAAATTCAACCTAATAAAAAAAAATTTAACCATAACCATGTTTTAAAAACCATAAAACAAAACAAGTTACATATCAAATATATAGCAAAATCTCTACTGATTGACATTTTCCTATATGTGATACTGCCCATCCCTAAGTGTGTCGGAGTGTATTACCTTGGTCTGGAAGGTGCAGTAGAGGTGTGTGAGGAAGGGGTGTTCCCAGGCCAGAGACAGCACTCTCCTCTCCACCATAGTGCATTCAACATCATCATCCATCAGAACAACATCTTTCTTCAGGGCCTTTACTGCAAAAAACTGCCCTGCGCCTTTCAGCTCAGCCAGGAATACCTACAACACATATGCACATAAGCAAAATTTATAGAGAATTACATGAGTATGCATCCAGAATGATATTCCAAAATGTAGTGTAATAGGCTGTTGTCTTGTTCTGCCTAATTCAGTTATGCCATATATAACAGCTGTCCATGAATGTTACCAAAGCTAGTTCCTTAAATTATTAAAAACATCCAAATCCATATCCAAATTGGCCAGGTACGCTCAGGACGTAGTCTTGCAAACAGTTACCATGTTTAGTTTCAATATGGCAACGTTTTGCCAAGATTCTGTTTAATTTCCTGTTTGGCATCCTCACAATGGTTATTCGTTGCAGATTTGTTATTTATATCGGCTTGACCCATGGAATCAAAGGATGTCTCATTTCTAGGCCAGTCATTTCAAACATTGGTAGGCTATATACTGTAGTTTAAATGGAAATTCACTGCTGTGATGTGTTTGCTGTGAGTTGAATACACTATTCTTACCTTTCCAAAGCTTCCCTTGCCCAGCATCTTATGTAGAGTAAAATTATCTAGGTTGAATTTGTGGTGCTCTTTGCGTGGGGTGGCGTACAGGGGTTCAGATTGTTCAAGACTTGGCCTGCGGCCCTCAGCCGGAGTGTCCCATGAAATACCTTGATGCTCTGTAGGGAGGAACCAAGAATTAATCCATTCAATCAATCAATCAGTCATCAGTCAATCCAAAACCTAGTAAGCTTCTTGGCATAGCTAAATTTTAGGCACCATAAGCATGCTTCAGATGCAAAGTCTGTTGCAAATGGAAGATAATAAATTATAAATTATGCTTCATAAGTCATTCAGGCTATATGAAAAGACTGTATCTCACATATCTTTATCAGATAGGTAAATTGCAGAATGCTCAGTTATGGTGGATTATGTCAGAGAATGTTACAGAAATTTACATCCATTACTGTAAAATATTGACAGAAAATAGTTCCATTTAATTCAAATGAAATGTTTTACCCATTGTTTTTGGGCGCTATATAATTTTTGTGCTTATGACATTGTTAGCTTAGCAACATGCGAATGTCAGGTTTCACTGCAATCTACTGTTATTTTAGCTTTGAAGCCAGTTCAGTGTCTACTTCCTTTCAATCGCTACCTAGTTCCTTATAAGCTCGTTTCTGGTAATTTCTAGAGTGGGCATGTTCCGGTAAACTGAAAGAATTTTGATAATGTTTAAACTCAAGAAATGTCCAACTCCCAATGCAGCGTACTTAATACTGAACTCTGTAGCTGACTGAGACAGACTTCCTGTCTCTCTTTCTAAAGTAATTTGATCTAATTAAATGAATCTTTAGTTAGTAGCAAGTTCGGCCTTCAAATCTGTTCAGAATTGTGAATGTTATTTTTGCATGTTATATTTACCTTTGCGTGGTAGAGGTGGTGCAGGCGTGAGGGGTGATGTTGGTAAGTGGCCTGAAGGCTCTCTAGTGACCCCTGCCTGACTTACGCCCACTGGACCCTCTCGACCAGCAATCTCATTATCCCGAGAGCTGCGAGCCTGCTATGGAAAGAAACACACACATCCGATCAGATTAAACAACCTGCACCACATGATAATCTAGGTCATTCATGTCATGTGTACTATATTGAGTTAGACAAAAAAACGTACTCTATAGCATTGCTAGCATGTGGTCCTATTGTACATAACTGCCGGGTTTGCTTTATTTTGTATTGCATTGAGCTCAGTGAAAAGTTTCATTCAGTATGGCGAATGGGTGTAAACAGATAGACCAGAAATTTTTATTCTACTTGAACTGGTCTATTTTGCCCAATATTTGTGTGGTATTTATTTTGTATGTTTATTAGAACATGACATTGTTAGCTTAGCAACATGCTAATAACGAACTCCATTGGAATAAAATGTGCATGACAAGTCTTTTGCAATATTAAGTGTACTGGTTGAGTGAGTGGATTGTTAAAGAAATAGTTCAACAAATAATGAAAATTCTGTCATTCACTCACCCTCAAGTTGTTCCAAAACTATAGGAGATTCTTTCTGTTTTGTTGAACCAAACAGTTAATGGTTCCCACTGACTTAATTTGTATGGAAAAATAAAATACTCTGGAAGTCAACGGGCACCAGAAACTTGGTTTGGTTATCCACATTCTTCAAAATATCTTCTTCTGTATTTGGCAGAAGAAAGTCATACAGGTTTGGAATAACATGATGACAGTATTTAATTTTTTGGGTGAACTATCCCTTAAATAAAACGGCTACCCATGAAGCTTGTAACCTACTCCAGTACTCAAGGGGGCAACATAGTTACTTTCAAATATTTGTGCCATTAAACCGATGTGCTGTTAGGTAGGTAAGCCAACTTGAACCCTTTGTAAAAACTGCCTAAAGAAATATTTTGCTCTCACGCAAAATTCCCGAACGTGGATTCCTATCGAAATGACTGTATTTCATCCACTGAAATTTGCCAAACAACAGTAAATGACATGACATTTGCTACATGCTTGTGTCAGCCTGCGTAGCATCTGTGGTTCATAATATGTGTGTGTTCCAACCTGTTGAGTGCTCTCAATCATAGCCAGGGCCTCTGCCATTAGCTTCTGGTTGACGCCACAAAGGTTTGCTACTTTCCTCTGACATTTATGGTGAACGTTCATGCCACACTCTGCAGTAAGAGAAAATGTTTAAAACATTAAATTGAAATGTCTAACATTTTGAAAAAAATAAAACTATATAAAACATGATTATAGAAAAACTACATTTGATTTGATAAAACAGGCCTTATGAATGTTTAGGGGTCATTCTACAAAACAGTGACATTTGCGTCCTTGATTAAAGTTCCTTATACAGTATATGTTTAAAAAAATATTTTAAAAATGAATAGCTCATGGTCAACTCATAGCTCAACTTTAATATCTATTATATATCTTCTATAACTTGTATAACTTAGTAACTTTATTTTTATGTAACGCTTTGTCTTTATTCTCTTTCTTTATTATTAAAAAGTTTGAATATCAACTCTGTTTCCATATTATCTTCACCCTTTTAACAATTTTAAAATTATTTAATTTAAAAAAGACATAATATTTTCTGTAAGTGAACAAGCAAATGTTTTTCTTCCTTTTTATCACTTTTCTTGCATTTTATTGTTTGCTAAATATCAGATTAAAAAAATAAAATTGGAAAAAAGACGTGTCAGAGTCAAAAAACAGAGTCATGTCCTAACATATGTATATGTATGCATATATGTTTGTGTGTGTATGTGTTGTACCATCTAATTTTTTTTTAATAATTACATTATTTAAACACATTTTTAGATAGAATACTATAGATATTTACTTCAAAAATCACCTTTTCAAAATGGAAAAACACAGAATGATCCTTTCACAGAATGACCCTTAGACATTCATAGTTGGCATGTGGTTGTGTAATGAATCACCTTCACATTTAAGGCCCTGCCGAGCAAGACCCCACAACAAGGTTCCACAGTGCTCACAGAATGTCGGGCTCATGTAGTTATACACTTTAAACCTGTGAGGCATGTCAATCTTAAAACGTTCCTTATGGATCTGGAACACACGTATACACATAGATTTAGTCTTGAAAACATACTGTACACACATTGACACACCAGGTCAACAAGGAAAATGTCCAAAACGCTATTCGTTATTTTCAGTGTGACTCAGTAAAGTGTGGAAAGACTGTTTTGTGGCGTCTACCAATTACTGAAAGAGGAAGGAGTCTGCGACAAAAAGATGATTCATTTTCTTAAATATTTATAATTATGCGTTCATCTGCAGATTACTAAAGCTTTGCTGAAACTATAATGAGCTTAAAGTTGCACAAAATGTCTAAAGGTCTCTGACTTACTGTAAATTCAGGGCGCAAAAACCCTTTTGTGAAAAAAACTAAACAAAACACTTTGTGTGCTTGATGTGATTGAATTAAAGGGTGATGAAAAAGAACCTTGTATTTACCATGGTTTCTTTACTGTTTACTGCTGAGCCTGTGCATTTGGCGATGACTTTGTCGATACACTTTTTATGGATGGCAGCATTGCATTCTGGGAAAAAAGAGTGAAGTGTGTAGGTGGAGTCCTGACACTGATTCAGTGGAAACTTGTATAGGAACTGGAACAGCAATGAGGATGTGAAAAAAATGACTTACGCCGACACTGATATCCTTGTTTATTCAGGCCCCTGAAGTAGGAAAAGAAACCATTAAGAAAATATTAATGTTATGTATAATCTAATATACAGTGCTAATTTTCTTGCATATACATATACAAACATATATTTTTCACAATTATATGTCATACATATGGTGGACCAGTAGTGCACAACACAACGAAATCTTCACAAAACAAAGGAAACAATTCGCAACACAATGAAATTAGCACAACACAACGGAAACAAGCTGCAACACAACAAAAACAAGCCGCAACACAACAAAATTAGCACAACACAAAGGAAACAAGCCACAACACAACAAAAACAAGCCGCAACACAACAAAATGATCACAACACAACGGAAACAAGTAGGGCTGGGTATCGAGTTCGATACTTTTTAGGCACCGACCGAATTGCCTCGATACCATCGAGTATCGAAAAACGTCTCGTCGTTCGGTACCAAATTTCGATACCTAACGGGTTAATCTCGAGTGTTTGCAATAACTTCCGATTGCCGTCTAATGTGTGTTTTGGCCATGTAATGTTGCTGAAATTAAATATGTTATTACCTCTGAGTCAGAGCAGCGATCATGGAAGAGAGAACACAGGCAGACAGCGCTGGAAGCTGCTAATGGTCATCAGTAAATCAGTGGAAAATAAATAGAAATGACGATTCTGTCTGAGCTAGGTGATTCTGTCACACGCACTAGTGTAAATGTAGCTAACAGATGTGTAAACTGAAGACTATTTGAGCTTTATTAAAACTATTTTGCACTGATTTATTGTGTTGGTTAAATTTTGTTCCTTTGTGCAGTGGCTCAGGAGATGAGTCTTTGAGATTGTATAAACATCAACAAGCTGAAAAAATAAAACCAAAGTTTTTTTTTTTTAGATAATGTAATCTTGTTAAAATTGATTTCATAAAATTGGTATCGAAAAAAGTATCGTTCAGGAACCGGTATCGAAGTCAAGGTATCGGTATCGATATCGAACATTTTTGAACGATACCCAGCCCTAGAAACAATCCACAACACAACAAAAACAAGCCCCAACACAACAAAATTAGCACAACACAACGGAAACAAGTTGCAACACACAAGTCGCAACACAACGAAATTAGCACAACACAACGGAAACAAGCTGCAACACAACAAAATTACCACAACACAACGGAAACAAGTCGCAACACAACAAAATTTGCATAACACAACGACAAAATTAGCACAACACAACAGAAACAAGCCACAACACAACGAAATTATCACAACACAATGGAAACAAGCTGCAACACAACAAAACAAGCCGCAACACAGCAGAATTGGCACAACACAAAAAAATTGTCCTATGCATTGTGTTGTGGTGCTTTCGTTGTGTTGTGGAGATTTCTTTGCGTTGTGTTTTGCACTACTGGTCCACCATACATACACCTGTATTTCATGATATAAATTTGATGTTGAGTAAATTTTATCACATTTATTCTATTTTAGTCTTTTTTGATTCATTCAATGATTGACTGATGTTTTAAAGAGGCCATAAGATTAAAGTTAAACTGTTCAAAGTTTATCAGTGCACAGTATTTTAAAGGGCTCATATGATGTTGCTAAAAAAGAACATTATTTTGTGTATTTGGTGTAATGAAATGTGTTTATGCGGTTTAAGGTTCAAAAAACACATTATTTTCCACATACTGTACATTATTGTTTCTCCTCTATGCCCCGCCTTTCTGAAACGCATCGATTTTTACAAAGCTCATCGGTCTGAAAAGCGAGGTGTGCTCTGATTGGCCAGCTATCCAGTGCTTTGTGATTGGCCGAATACCTCAAGCATGTGACGGAAATGTTACGCCCCTTACCCTACTGTGATGCCCTGTCCGGCCGGAGCGACGAGACAAAAACATTAAAACCCATTATAAACGAGGCATTTGTTGCATCCAGTGGGTACATAATTACGGATTATAATGACTTATATGTCTTTTTACGCGTCACTCTTAACTTTTATAAAGAATATCTCTTTGGATTTGAGACTTTAGTCTTTGCAACTTTACAGATCTTCTTTATGCACCAAGAGCTTGTAACACTCCAAAGAGAAAGGAAAAATTTAAATCGCATCATATGACCCCTTTAAAGAAACTTTTTTGTTTTCATAGTCTTTCATCAAAATGTTATAACGTGCTCTGTTGATAAACAAGGCAAAATAATATTAATATTTTTATTGCATTAAGCAATATTTTTAACATGTTTTCATCCGATCAAATCAAAATAGATAGATTCATCCATAAAATTCCTCCCCACATTATTTTACTGTTGCCGTTTACAATCTACAGAGGAAAGAAGTTATTTTTTTAATAAGAGTTTTGTTTTAATATATGAATATTTGAGACAGTGCATAATACCAGACAAACTCCTTGCAGACTGAACAGAAAGTCGGCTGAGGGAAAAAGGTGGCGGTAAACTCGTGACATTTGACCACATGAACTTTGGCCTGTTTGATGGCTCCTCGTCTGTGATGCAGTGCGAACACCCCTTCTTTTTCCCGTTCGGTTTCTCCATTTCCTTCACCATGACCGGCAGCGTCTAAGAACAAACAAGAACCCACATGAAAACACCAAAAATTATTTATGTCCCCTGATCCCAGTTTGAAAACTCCACCAAGCTCCATCAGCTCATGAAAACATGATAACATAATAATAGAAGTAATAATGCTAATATTAATCAGTGAGAGATTGTGTGTGGATCTGAATTAGAGAAATTCTCACCACTCCTCTCCAAAAAATACCGCGCTTCCATCAGTAAACGACCCTGTGGCTTCAGTTCCACCTATATTACACAAAAATAAATCTTATTAAATAATTGAAAATATATTTGAAACATTTATAACACATCCATTTTTATCGGATTTATTTTAGTGCTGGGCAACGATTAATCGCGATTAATCGCATCCAAAATAAAAGTCTTCAAACATGATGCTTGGAATTGAGGTTCATCAGACCAGAGAATGTTGTTTCTCAGCATCTAAGTGTCCTTTAGGTGCTTTTTTTTGCAAATTCCAAGTGGGTTTTCGTGTGCCTTCACTGAGGAGAAGATTGAGTCTGGCCACACCGACATAAAGCCCAGATCGGTGGAGTGTTGCAGTGATGTTTGTTCTTCTGTAGGTTTCTCCCATCTGCATATATGATCATGGAGCTCAACTAGAGTGACCATCAGGTTTTTGGTCACCAGTCTAGACCAGGCCCCTCTCCATCAGTTGCTCAGTTTGGCCAGCTCTAGGAAGAGTCCTGGTTGTTTCAAACGTCTTCCATTATGGATAATGAAGGCTACATGATTCTGTGAACCTACAATGAAGCAGAATTTTTTCTGAACTCTTCCCCAGATGTGTGGCTTGACGCAAACTTTTTTTTGTTTCTGAGCTCTACAGGCAGTTCTTTTGACCTCAGGGCTTGGTTTTTGCTCTGATTTGCATTTTGAGCTGTTAGACCTTTTATTAAGACATGTGTGCCTTTCCAAATCATACCCATTCAATTGAATTTGCCACAACAAATCTACAAGCAATATGAATATGAACATCTACAAGCAATATGAATGCTCCTGAGCTAAATTTCAGCTGTGCCAGATAACGGTTTGAATAGTTAAGCAATGGAATTATTTAAGTTTTTAATTTTTTAATAAATTTGCAAAGATGTTAATAACCTGTTTTTTTCTTTGCCATTATGGTGTATGGAGTGTAGAATGATGTGGGGAAAAAAGTAATTTAACATAAGGCAGCAACATAACAAAACGTGAAAAAAATATGACTATGAATACTTTCGCAAGGCACTGTATATATGTATATAAAAAACATTTATTTTGGATTCTATTAATTGCGATTAATCGTTGCCCAGCACTAATTTATTTTTAATATGAGTTTAGTGTTCTAATCCACCCAAAATGGATTTTTATTAAATAAATTACAACAATAACAAAGGTCAAGCTAACTCAATGGTCACTGAACTGTATATCAGCACTGGTAACACATTTGTTTCCATTTTGCTTTCTCACCCAGATCTCCAGTTTGCCATTCTCTTTCTTACAGCGTGAAGCGAGGGTGTCGAGTTGAACAGTAGCCTCCGTCTTTAGCTCAGCCGTCTTGTCCTTGACCACCACATGCATTACTCGTCCTCTGTGGACGTGAGCGTCAAACGTGCTGCTCCAGGGGGGATACATGGTGGGCCGCTTCTGTTTGTACATCTGACCCTTTTCTGTAGATACACACACAAGTATAATACAAATACATCTCCAAATCAGTTCCACGCTGCTGACAGTTTGACTGGACTAAGCTTTAAAAGTATCAGCACAAGTAAATCACTTCATGTGTGTTACAGCATTCTAACTGGATTTACCGGATCTGAAACTAATACTAGTGAAAGGGCACAATGCTCTTTCTGTTTGATAGTAATCTGACAGCCTTTACTGCAGGAAAACAAATATAGAGCCATGCAAATGAAACTATGCAATTTTGGTAGAATGTCAACATTTTCCCTTAGTTAAAGTCAATATGACATTTAAAATCAGGTCTGTTTTTTTTCTTAATGCATATTCCTGGTCTTATTGTGCACGAAGCATCAATGCACGTTTGAAAAACACATTTGTTTTCATAATATTTCATCAAAATAACTCCTAAAACGACTTTCCTTTTTGCTGACATCATCAAGTCCTCTTATTTTTTAGCCCCTCCCCTCCAACCACCTGCCTACATTCAGTGTATAATGTCTACTTTTCTTAATCCAATAAATTCCCAATGGATAAAATTAAGTTTAGGTCTACAAATAAATATATTGTTTCACTTGTTGTTAAAACAGGTTGCGAACACTTTCATTTAATGTGTAATTTGACATTAAAAATTGGACATATAGTTTATCTGACTTATACTTAAAAGCAAATCAAGAAGAATCAAATTAATAAAGTAACTATTTCTGCAAAAGTGCATTTGAACTTACTGTATGCATGGTTTTGACAACTGAGGATTTTTAATACATCATATATTTACATGCACAGATGTCCATTTATTTATTTATTTATTGGTTAAATTATTTTGTTTCACTTGTTGTTAAAACAGGTTGCAAACACTTTCATTTAGAGTAGAATTTGACATTAAATGCATAAAAAAACTGGGCATTCAGTTTATCTGACTTGTACGTGACAATGAAGATGATTCAGAAGCGTTTGAGACTGACTTGACACTTTATATTTTGACAGGTATGTGTGGTTGCGGTTGGTTCTAGAGAATGAAACCAAAGGGGTTGCTGGGAAAGCCTTGTGTCTTCAGTACTGCTCAGTGGCCATGTTTGAGTAATATGCATGTGTGTACAACTGCTTATCATTTCATCTGATCTGATTTACACCCACGTTTTACCAGCTATGGACATCCGTGCAAGTAAATATATGGTGCATAAAAGTTCTCAAAAGATGAGTTTATATGCACTTGTGCAGAAATAGTTACTTTCTTATAAATTTGATTCTTATTGATTTATTTTGTTGATTATAAGTGGGCGATGTTCTAATTATTTGCCGTATAGAAGCAGTAAAACATTGCAGGGATAAATGCTCTTAAAGGAATAATTCAAACTATTTTTTTTTCACGTCTGTGACAGAAGTAGTAATGTTTGATTTATGAATTAATCATTCTTTTGAGTCTTTCAAATGAACTGGATGATCCAGTTCTTAAATTCTTAACTCAATGAATCAATTATTCAGTTGCAGTGGCTTCGGAAGAATATAGTGCAAAAATCCTATGGAAATGTATGATGGTTTTAATTGTCTTTTACATTCTTTTAAAACTTAAAGGCAACTGTTCACATTCATTTTATTTGCTTGGAAAAGGATGTCCAGAACATTGTTTAACATGTATATAATATACATTTACATTTACATTTAGTCATTTAGCAGACGCTTTTATCCAAAGCGACTTACAAATGAGGACAATAAAAGCAGTCAAAACTAACAAAAGAGCAACAATATATAAGTGCAAATGACAAGTCTCGGTTAGCCTAACGCAGTACACGTAGCAAGGTGTATATAAATATATATATATACACCTTCACACACACTCACTCACTCACTCACTCACTCACTCACTCACTCACTCACTCACTCACTCACTCACTCACTCACTCACTCACTCACACACACACACACTTTCACACACACTCACTCTCTCACTCACACACACACTCTCTCACTTACTCACTCACACAC